ACACACACACACACACACACACACACACACACACACACACACACACACACACACACACACACACACACCTCGGCCTTCGCTCTGCTTTTTGACCAGTGTCAGCTTGTATCCATCTCCATAAGTGCTCTTGAGAAAGAGTGGGGAGCCACAGCATTTGAGTTTCCCGTGTGAGATGATGGCAATGCGATCTCCCAGAAGGTCTGCTTCATCCATGTGGTGAGTAGACAGCAGAATTGTGCGGCCTAAGGCAGAGGAGCCACACACATATGTAGGAGGTGGTTTGGGTTACATTTACCAAGCAGGACATCAAAAAAAGGATAGAGCGTGCCTCTGCAACAATATTCTGAAAACTGAACACAGAGGACATTTTTTCCCACATGCATACAAGAAATATGCTCAGACTGAACAACACTTAAATATCTTTGGTGAGGATTGAATCCCTGGATTGATGTCATGTCACTCTGCACGATGCCTAGGAGTCACTCACCTTGTTTGTACTTGAGAATGAGATCCCAGATGGCTCGGCGGGCGTAGGGGTCCACCCCTGCGGTTGGTTCGTCTAGGATGACGGCCCTGGAACCACCAACAAAGGCAATGGCGACAGACAACTTTCTCTTCATCCCACCAGACAATGTCTGCACCAAGCTGTGACGCTTATTGGACAACTCCAGGTCAACAATCATCCTGGACACACACACAGAGAGAGTTATTGGTTGTCAGGGAGCACTGACACTGGTTGAGTGAAACATTAAACAAGTGAGGCAAGTTAAACCCTAATGAGTCCCAAACAACTAAACAGCATCAAGCTGTGACCTCAGTGCCTTTACATATGCACAGTTTGAATTTCCATAGGCTCTTTATCTTACAATACAAGGTGCCTCTGGACAACTGCTGCTGTAAGTTGGCGCTACATAAATAAAACTGAATTGAATAAAAGCAGCTGACTTGTCCATCTCCTTGCAGATGTCTTCTTCAGCCATGCCTTTGAGCCTGGAGTAGAACCACAGATGCTCCTCCACACTCAGCTTGTCAAACAGGACGTTGTGCTGCGGACACATCCCGAGGTTCTGTCGAATACGCTCCATCTCAGTGCGGATATCGTGGCCATAGATGGTGGCAGAGCCAGACGTGGGCGGGAACAACCCTGTCAGGATGGACCTATGAACATACAGTTTAGATTACAGGTCACAGTGATACATTAAACAGGATTTGTTGCTTAAATGTTGTTTGGTCCAATATATCTTTAAAAAATATCATATTTTTATTTTCTTCTTTTTTTGTTTGTTTGTGTGTAGCTGCAGCAGGCTGAACATTTAAGAACAGATCATGAATGTTTATATTTCATTATATATGAGTCTTATAAAACCTGCATGTCTCAGTGTGATCTACAAAACCATGCAAGAGTAAATCGTTGAGCTCTCCAGTGCCGGAGCTGCACAATAAAAACCATTACTACATGCTGCACACTGCCTCTCACATTGTAGTTGTCTTCCCAGCTCCATTGTGTCCCAAGAAGGAAACCACCTGGTTTTCATGCAGGTTGAGGCTCAGTTTGTTCAGGGCCAGTTTACTGCCTGTCTTGTACACCTTGGTCAGTTTGTCTATACACACCACCAGGGGAAGGTGGTTGGGCTCCTCCTCTATCCCGCGGATCTCCTCTGGAGTTGGAATGACAGTGAGAACAAAATCGGAATCATTTATAAAAATATCGATTTAAAAAGTGTTTTTCTCCGTCGTTAATTCCACTTCTTTTGTTAAAAGCACTAAGAGGAGAGGCAAATAACCACATGCCTGAAACAGGGAGAGGCCCTGTGGTTTCTGCATGGAGATTTGAACTCAGCACTATTATTTACTCGGGACAAATAAGGAAATAAAAGGGGCGTGGCTTCATGTCACTTTGAACTGAACTGTCTCGTGTGTCACATTGGAATCTGGAAATTCATAATCCTGCTCAAACATGCAAACTTGGAAAGGTTCCTGTGTAAGGAAATAATAATATTTAATATTTAATGATATTATGGATGGATAAATAATATTTATCCTTTTACTGAAGTTTAGGACGGTGTGTATTACAGTGTTTTTAAGCTGATTGACAGAATATGGGAATCTTGTCCTCGAGCACCATATTGTTGGTTTTTACCATTCCTCCGGTGGTCCATCGCACAAGCCTGATCCTCCTCCATCACACTGAGCCTGGCAGCTCCACCTCCGCACCAAGGCCAGTCCCAGGTCTCCACACGGCCACTGCCAGACCAGTAGGACCTCTGCAGTGGGAAGTACCATGGGCGCGGCAGCCCATACATTCCTAATGGAAAATTAGGGAAAATCGAATCAGCAGAAGATTCCTAAATAACGTTTGTTGGGAGAAAACCTGAGAGAGCAAGGATTTCACACCTGGATGCACAGCCTCTATGTACCAGGTCAGCACACCGTACACGCCAGCATCAATGATGAGCATCATCATGGAGAGACCGAGGTTAAAGTCATCGCCTTCTACAGGTGACTGGCTTATGGTCTGCCACTGAATGCCAACACCTGCTACCTCGTATAGAGCAAAATACTTGGAGCCAAGGCCAAAAGCTGTGGTAGACATCAGAGACTAAAAGAGAAGGAAACAATGTGGATTATCTGATTTCACAGAACAACAGATAAAGAACATTTTACCAACGCACCACAAATTCAAAGAGTTTTGATTGGTGAATAAGGAAAGAAATGTAAAATGCCTTACAGCAATGCATTTCTCGAAGGCAGTGATCTTGTCGTGAGCCACCTCTTCCCTAATGGCCACATACATATAGGGCACATAGCTGAGGAAATAGATGATTCCTCCGCAGGCAGAAGCCAGCTTAGCTTTGGAGTAGATTACTGACACCAGGAAACTGGGAAAAAAGTTACGCTTCATTTGTTTCAGGACATATTCCACAAGTTTTTACAAATACAATGAGATGTGCAGCAAAATCACTACATATAAAGACAAGGTTCACGATTTTTCAAAAATAATCATCACTCAATGCTCACTAACATTAAAACTCAAGACACCAGGTTTTCCATGTCTGGCAGAAACCTCCAGCACTGAACGAAAAAGTCCTGACCACAGGAGGCTGACTACAAACTCCTCTTACACTGACATACTGACAGCTTAGTATCCATCCATCCGTCCATGAATAACCATGTCTTAAGGACAGCAGCCTAACAACAGAAACCCAGACCTCAGGAATCTCAGGAAACACTGAGGGGATTATCGGGCCAATGGAGGGACATTTCTCCGGCGTGCCCTGAGCCTCCTCCAGGTAGGACTACATGCAAAAATGGCCCCAATCTATCTGTCAATCTTTTGTTTTCCATCACAGATGCCAAGATACTTCAATTCCTCCACTTGGGACAGCAACTCTTCCCTGGTGGGAACGCCACCTTTTTGCAAAAATCCAACTGGGAGCCCAGTCAGTCTACATGTAGTGCCAAAACACAACAACAGTCACCTCAAGGCGCCTTGTAAGGTAGACCCTACATACAAGGTCTTAAATAATCAGGCCCCATCTTATCTTAATGACCTTGTAGTACCATATCACCCTATTAGAGCACTTCGCTCTCGCTCTGCAGGCCTACTTGTTGTTCCTAGAGTATTTAAAAGTAGAATGGGAGGCAGAGCCTTCAGTTTTCAGGCCCCTCTTCTGTGGAACCAGCTTCCAGTTTGGATTCAGGAGACAGACACTATCTCTACTTTCAAGATCAGGCTTCAAACTTTCCTTTTTGCTAAAGCATATAGTTAGGGCTGGACCAGGTGACCCTGAATCCTCCCTTAGTTATGCTGCAATAGACGTAGGCTGCCGGGGATTCCCATGATGCATTGGGTGTTTCTTCTTAAGTCATCTTTCTCATTCCTCTCTGCATTTAGTTATTATTAATCTCTGTCTCGCTTCTATATCATGTCTTCATCCTGTCTTCCTCCCCTCATCCCCATCAAATAGCAGCAGATGTGAGTTCCTCCCTGAGCCTGGTTCTGCTGGAGGTTTCTTCCTGTTAATAGGGAGTTTTTCCTTCCCACCGTCGCCAAAGCACTTACTCACAGGGGCCATCTAACTGTTGGGATTTTCTGTGTTCTTTGTATTATTGTAGGGTCTGCCTTACAATATAAAGCACTTTGAGGCGACTGTTGTTGCCGTATAAATAAAACTGAATAGAAGATTTGGAGGGTGAAGGTCTCCAGTCCTAATCGGAGCGCTCAGAGCAGTGATCCCCAACAGGGAGCGTGGCCTCAGCAGAGCGCAGGAACAGCAAAGTACTGCACAGGACCCTCAAGCTCCCAGGCCTCTGGCAGAGGACCCGAGGATAAAGACTGCTCGCAGGAAGGATGGACATTTTATTTGGTATATGGTAATAAAGTTACTTCAGGTAATGAAGTACCTCCCTGGTAGAGTTTGCATGCATCTCATCCTGTCATTATGTCTGTAAACATGATGCCTCGATAAGTCCTGAATAGATTAAAATGAAACGTTAAATGGGTGGAGAGTTTATATTCACAGTCGTGTGTATTGTCAACAAATAGAAAATATCTAATTAATATTTAAATATCATTTCATGTCTGACCTCTTCTTCAAGGTCAACGAAACATTTAAATGTGTAATGAATGCTACACGTGTACTGTCCACATAAATAAATAATAAAATAGTATAAGTGGGTTTCCACAGGACAAATAACAAAAGCCTGCACATTCATGCACTGCAAACGTCTTAAAGTATTCTTTAAAAGAATAAAGTAAAAATAATAAATGCATATTATAATCTTATTCCCTGAAACCTAAAGAGTGAGCTGCCTTGGTGGAGGTTTGTGCTCAGAGTGCTTCTTGTAACTACTGAAAACACTGCCAGACTTACACATGTTAAAGTTCATTCACCCTCTTGTTTAAGTGAGAATGACCAGCGAGTATCGAATAAGATTTGATTGCAGATGGTAGGAAGGAAGTGCTTAATCTTATCAAACTGCTGTCAGAGGTAAAAATTTAATTATGCGTTCTCCACTGTACCGATAAATGCTAACTGACAATTTCCTAATTTTTTTCAATGAGTTTTATCTTTCTAGGCTTAAATGCACCATGCTTTACAAGTTATATTCACATAGCATTTCAATTCATAGTTTATCTCATGCACACCAGTAGATATATTGGAGGTCTGGGCAAAACTGACCTTTGACCCTGTGGTGAGAGTATCCCCTTCCTGTTCTGTACTAAACATTACCCGTGAAGCTGTGCACACTGAGGCATTGAGCCAGAAGTCTTACCAGAACATGATAGTAGCCACGGCATAGATGGTAAGGAACAGCCAGATGATGAAGGGATCGCTGTGGAGCAACACCCGGCCGTACTTTAAAATGGCCGTGAGAGCAGTGACAGAGATGGACAGCTGGACAAAGCCCGTGATGAACCACGCCACCCAGTGGACTGCATTGTTCAGACCCATCATCTTCATCACCTGAGACAGAGACACTATGGTTACTTGCAAGTATGCACAGTAGTGTGAAAAAGTCTTTGACTCTTATACAACACACTAAACACAAAATGCAGCTGCTAAATAAAAGTATTTATGAATAAGTGGACAAAACCCCAAAGCTACACGGCCCCTAAACCTGGTTGGGCCTCAGCAGCAACAGCTGCACTCAGGTGTTTGTGATAACTGGCAGTGAGCGTTTTACACTCTGTGGAGGAGAGGGTTGTCTTTGCAGAATTGTTGTAACTCAGCCACACTGGAGGGTTTTTGAGCATCTCAGTCTGACTCAGGTCAGGACTTTGAGCAGGTCAGAGTTGTGTTTCTTGGACTTGCTGCTGTGTTTTGGATCATTGTCCTGCTGAAGCGTGCTTCAGCTTGAGGTCACAAACAGATGGACAAACATTTTCCTTATTGGATGTTTTGGCAGAAATCCTGTTTCCGTTTACCACAGCAAGTCTTCATGTCCTGAGACAGAAAAACAGGGTTAACTCTGGTTGGTCGGCTCCTCCTGGGAGGGGTCACCACTATTCTGTGTTTCTGGCATTTGTGGTTCGCTGGAGTCCCACAACTGTAGAAACGGCTTTCTGACCTTTTCCACACTGAGACACTTTGTTCCGTCACTCATTGTTTCACACACATCCTTATTTTTAATGATAAATTCGGGAAATTTGTGAAAGTGAATTTTGTGAAGTAATGGGAGTGGTGTTATTTTTCTAGTGACCACTATAACCCACGTTTACCCACTCACACACACCTGCAGCACTTTGAGGTCTTTTAATGTAACACACACAGTTCAGGATAATGTCCAAGTGTCACTAAGCTGAAGTAAATTCTGGGTCATTCTCTACATATTCCCACTGGTGGCTTTTGGTTTTGGGCCCCGACTTATGCTGCAGGATTGTTTGCTTCACAACAAAGCAAATAAAGACATAAAGTCTTCTGTCTTTCATCATCATGATCAGTCTGCACAGAGCGTTTTTGGTTTTTTAATGTTGTTTTTTTGGTAAATGGCCTGTATTTGTATAGCACTTTACTTAGTCCCTAAGGACCCCAAAGCGCTTTACACATTCACACACTGGTGATGGCAGCTACATTGTAGCCACAGCCACCCTGGGGCGCACTGACAGAGGCGAGGCTGCCGGACACTGGCGCCACCGGGCCCTCTGACCACCACCAGTAGGGTGAAGTGTCTCGCCCAAGGACACAACGACCGAGACTGTCCGAGCCGGGGCTCGAACCGGCAACCTTCCGATTACAAGACGAACGCCCAACTCTTGAGCCACGATCGCCCCGTTTTTTTTGGTATCCATCCATCCATCCACCTTCATCCGCTTTATCCGAGGCCGGGTCGCGGGGGCAGCAGCCTAAGCAAAGAGGCCCAGACCTCCCTCTCCCCAGCCACCTCCTCCAGCTTATCCGGGGGAATACCAAGGCGTTCCCAGGCCAGCCGAGAGATATATTTTTTTGGTATTTTGTCTTTATTTGACACCAGTAGTGACGACAGACAGGTGAGCAGAGAGAGCCCAGGCTGCTGCCTTGTGTCATATGGTCGCCCACTGAGTTATACTGGTGCCCAGTATGTTTATCGTACACTGAGAGCTGTGAGCGAGTGTACGATAAACAGAAGTCAAAGATCAGACAGGGACGCCGTAAGCAGGAGGAAAGTGATGACGAGTCCCTGACTGCCGGGAGAAACAGCAGCTCGTCTTTTTTTTATTAACCTATCAGCGTAAGATTGAATAAAACTTCTCATGTTTCAAAAGTACTTAAGCAGTAAAAGTACTTTTACACTGTTTTATAAAATTTAATTCCATTCAACAAGTTAACATATAATATGTATTTGGTGTAAGGTATTAATCAATGTAAAAAAAACCATTATAATCTTATCATTAAAAATGTGAAAATGCAAAAAGTGGCACAAAATCAAGAAGTAAGTTTACTAAGCAGAACATGGACCCATGTTTGTGTTTTTAAGGCTGGCGTGGTCGCAGTATCAAAGTGGCCTGAGAGGAGGCAGCAAAGAGCAGCACTAAGGCTGCGCGCTGATGTACAGCGTGGAACAATGTTGCCATGGATTGTGGAGCAACCCTGCTTTTCAACACTAAAGGAAACATAAAGGAGCCACACAGCTGCACACATACTGGGAGCAGTTCACTGGTGACTCTTCGCAGCTGCTTGCTCGTGCACATTTATTCCACTGGTCTCGGTGAGAGGTAACAGGCAGGGTGAGCATCCTTGCATTCCCTCAGCTTGCTGCTTGTATGACGGGTTTCTACCAGAGGAGGAGAGAGTCGCTTCATCTTGGACCTGGTCAGGAAAGTTCGTCTACTTATCAGACTTCAGATCCCGGAGGAACCATGCAGTTATTGTCCTGGTTGCAGAACACTGGACCAGCTCTGGACCAGTGGGTGTGGACATGGAGACATGCGATCATGTCCCTCAGGTACATGAGTGCTTGGGCCCATCACTGAAATCACTGTCCATCACTGTCCAACTGTTGTGAGACACTGCTCCACATTACCAGCAATAAGCTGGACTTGCTTGGGGGGTGTTGACATGGTTGACATGCACGAAATGCTGCGAGCGATTCTATCACTGAGCCGTACTGCATGTTTTTTGTAAATACAAGCCCTATATTTCAAATGTTTGTTTAAAGTTTCAATCTTTGCTTTGGTTTAAAACTAATTGTTTGCTCCCATCCCCAACAATCTTTGAGCACGCTGTCGTGTGGACCAATCACACTAACAAACACTCACCTCTTTAAGCCTGTGCTCTTTCTCAGCTACAATATGCTGAATCATCATGGCCACTGAGTAAACCCAAGAGATCACCATACACAGAGGCATCATGTGCTCAATCACAAAGAGAAAACTGCAAAGACAACAGTAACACAGGGTATGAGCTGATGATCACAGTAACAGACAGATGTGCTGATGCAGGAATATATTCATCCAAACCGATCGTTGGTCACGTTTAAATGAACTTTTCAAACTGCTTAAGACATTCTGTTTACATGACTTTCTAATGGTAACGTGTCATTATTTTGTTTATTATTATCACACAAACAGAATCCCAGTAAATACAGTACAGGGCTACGTGTTAGTCCGTCCCTTACTCGTCTCTGGTGTAGCATGGATAAGGGAACATCTGAACGTAGTTGCCAGGCTCCACCACGTCATGCCCCACAAATGTGTTGATGATCGCTCTCTCTATCATGTCTGGAAAAGAGAATCGAGACAGGGTTCGTATTTCTCTCCAGCGTGCGTGTTACATATTTGTATATCAGCTGATGGTGACGGTTTGGGTAATAAAGGATGTTGTGAGTCAGACTGATTTACAAATTAATCACTTTAAAAAAATTAAGATTTTTCTTAATTCACATGATGAAATATACAATACAGTAAAATTATATAACCCTTATTTTATATTTATGCTTAAACATTTTTCATGGGAAACTCAGTGACAATATTCGACATAAATATGGAGAAAGAGTGAGCTAGAACATTATATATATAATAACAAAAAAACACCCAGCACGCCCCTGCGGGCGGTTTATCCTTCAAGCTCGGGTCCTCTACCAGAGGCCTGGGAGCTTGAGGGTCCTGCGCAGTATCTTAGCTGTTCCCAGGACTGCGCTCTTCTGGACAGAGATCTCCGATGTTATTCCCGGGATCTGCTGGAGCCACTCGCCTAGCTTGGGAGTCACCGCACCTAGTGCTCCGATTACCACGGGGACCACCGTTACCTTCACCCTCCACATCCTCTCGAGCTCTTCTCTGAGCCCTTGGTATTTCTCCAGCTTCTCGTGTTCCTTCTTCCTGATATTGCTGTCATTCGGAACCGCTACATCGATCACTACGGCCGTCTTCTTCTGTTTGTCTACCACCACTATGTCCGGTTGGTTAGCCACCACCATTTTGTCCGTCTGTATCTGGAAGTCCCACAGGATCTTAGCTCGGTCATTCTCCACCACCCTTGGGGGCATCTCCCATTTTGACCTCGGGACTTCCAGGTTATACTCGGCACAGATGTTCCTGTACACTATGCCGGCCACTTGGTTGTGGCGTTCCATGTATGCCTTGCCTGCTAGCATCTTGCACCCTGCTGTTATGTGCTGGATTGTCTCTGGGGCATTATATAATATATAAGTATATATATATATAATATATTATAATATATATATATATAATATATATATATATATATATATATATACCATATATAGATATATATTATATATATATAATATTTGCTGTCTCCTGCAGGCTTACACATCAGCACGTGACTTGTACTCAGTTATGAATGAGGGTGATAAACAGAGAGCACCTACAAGCTCATTCTTTAAACAGGCTGATGATGAACTGAAGTAGAAATATTCTAATAACTTAAAACAACTGTTTCCTTTTTATAATGATCCAACCCTGTCAGAGCCTGTGACCTCTCCTGGCTAAACAGCCTTACACTGCGTTGTCTTCAGACACATCTATCACTCTGATTTCATCATTCAATATTCTGTGTCAGTTGAGTGGCTTCCCTGCATTCAGCAACTAAATAAAATATGATTTGTAGTTAGAAAATGCTGCTGCTGCAGCGTTGTAAGCACGTTCCATCAATCCATCCCCTTCTGCTCATCCAGGTCAGGGTTACAGGGAGCTTGAAACCCATCCCAGCTGCCACAGGGCAAGAGGCAGGGTACATCCTGGACAGGGTGCCAATCTGACACAAGGCCAGGTAAGCACGTTACCTTTACTTCATAAAAACAAATGAAACTGCACTGATATCAGTGTGTCACCCCTTGGGTCCTGTGCATAAAACCGTTGATCTACATACTGTTCAAAAACCACACAAGACTGAGAATTCTCATTCCAACCAAATCAAACGGTCAGCACTGGGAAAGTAAGTGAATTTCAGTTCCTTACCTTGGATCCAAACAAAGCCATACAGGAAATAGAATTTCCCCCCAGTGTTGGGGCCAGGGCGCCAGTAGGCCCTCCTGATTTCATTGGTCTTCTCTGTTAAGCTGGAATTTTGTCTGATTTTGTACATAACATGTGGTGGAAGGGAGCCATCTTTATTAGTCTGGAAAATCACACCTGGGGAAAGAAAACATTAGAATGGTAAAGAAAATCTAATTTTGCATCAAAACTCTGATGTGGGCATTTAATATGCTTCATGTGATTATGAACGACTCTGAATAATATAGAAACAGAAACTTAAAACAGCTGCTCATCCCTGACAGGACTGTGAGGAATCCTGACTGATTGCTGGTTGATGGGTGAGCGCAGTGATATCCCCGCCTGTGATGTGAATGATGCAACCATGAGTAGTAACGCCCCTAAACGGCAATTAGGAAATCAAGTGGTAATGTCATGTGTATCCACCAGGGGGAGCAGTGTGGGGCACACTCATGTACATTTTGAGATCCTTCCCAGATGCCTTAACGCCCACTCACATCCTGGGCCTTTTGACCTCAGAAATCACACGATTGGGTGGGGCCAGGCTTCGCAGTGGGTCCACAATGGTGATTGTGACCTACACTCGTTTTCACACCTTGGCTCATGTGATTAGGTAGAGGATCATTAGGGGGTCAGCAACCCTCATAATGGACAACTCTCACTACGGCAAATAATCTGGGAGCGATTGGTTTTAGAACTGAAGAAGCTTCAGTGGAATGAGATATGCCCAAAGGGAGGTCAGCTGACTCCTGACCTCTAGCTGGAAGCAGTCTGAGGTCTGTGGGTACGCAAGTGACCTTTTTGCAAGCAAAGCACAAACAGGACATTGTGAAAATCTAGAGCATGTCCACCTCACTCCTGCAGTTTAAATGCATTAGATACTATGATTACAGTCGGACATGCAAAGGCGACTCACTGGCAAACACAGAAACGTTGTCCCGGTAAGCCTGATTCAGGGTGTAGTTGACAATGCTGTCTTCATCAGGAAAGCCCTTGAAGACATCAACACTGACCTGGAAACACAAGTAACAGACACACACCTGGGTTTGCCACTTATCTGCACTTTAATTTTAATAACTGTACAGTGCTCTGTTTTGGTAACTATTGTCCATGATGTAAATATGTGAAGATTGTGTGTTTCTGTTCTATGTCCTGTTCTGTTTGTATATGTGGGGGTTTTTGTTTTGTTTTTGCTGCTGTTACAACCACATTTCCCCTTGTGGGACAATTAAAGTAACTATTCTATTCTATTCTATTCTATTCTATTCTACTCTAATCGTGTTTCACTGCAGAAGGCTGTTGGTGTTTTAGCACCAGGATGAAACCATCATATGAGCTTATTAAAGTCTTTACATATTTACAGCACGCAGTAGGATCGTGTGCTGTTGTCTCTGTTGTCTCTACAAAGTCCAAAGACATTAAATAGAATGTAAAAACTTCTCAGTGTGATTTAATGCAATGACTTTGCATTTATCTGTGGATTCCTAATAACAATTTTAATAAAATATAAACACAAAGAGTCATCCATGACTGTTGTGACTGACACCAGAATCAAGCAAGCAAAAAAAAGTTAATTCACGTGAATATCACACCAGCGTACCAGTCGTGTTTTCATGTGTAATCCAAACATATGAAATACTGGTACGTGATTAAACACAAAAAGAAAGACGTAGCTAAAAGCTAGCAGTCACTTGTCTTATAATGACTTCACTCTGTAAGTAACATTAATAAAGAAAGATTATTTCTTTGTTGTTGTTGTTGTTGTTGTGAAGCAGATAAAAATGAATGAATATTGTTGTCATTATTATTGCAGCCCTGCATTCAGGTTCGGCTCGCAGGAGCAGCAGTCCTTGCAGAGAAGCCCAGACTTCCCCCACCCTGACCACCTCTTCCAGCTTAGCCAGGGGGACACTGCATTGGTCAACTGACAGATATAATCTCTCCAGCATATCCTGGGTATGACCTGGTGCCTCGTCCCAGTACGATATGCCTGAAACACCTCGGCTAGGAGGCATCAAGTAGGACTCCTTCTGATGTTGAGGAGCAGAGGCTTTACTCCAAGTCCCCCTCGGATGAACAAACATCTCACCTTATCTCTAAGGGAAGAACCCAGCCACCCTTTGAAAGAAACTAATTTCCACCACTTGTATCTGTGACCTCATGAACAAAACCCCAAGAGCCTCCATCACCTGCTATGGCTAGATAATGTGTCCATAAAACTATGAACAAAACTGGTGACCAAGGGCAGAACTGGCACGGTTCAACACTCACTGAGTCCTACTTATTGCCAACAATATGGTTCAAGCTCGCGCTGCATCCCCCTCCTGAGTCATGTGCCAGAATCACCTTGATGCTGACCAAAAGTCTTGTTTTATGTCCCCAAACTCCTCCCACACCCAAGTTTTTGCATCAGGAGTCCCATTGGCTAACGAAGCCAGGTAAGACTTTCTTCAACCTGATCACCTCCCATGTCCACCAGTTGGTTCTGGGATTATAGTATTTGGTCCAAACCTGTCCCAGCTCCATATTCATTCCCCGGGAGGCCCCTTCTTAAATCAGCTATTGTATTTTCCTTCTTAATGAGAACTCTTTTTCTCTTCTGAACTCGATATCCACACTATGCATAGTTATCCAGGATGCATAAGTGTTTTTATTTTTTTGCCTTTATTGGATAGCAATAGTAGAGATAGACAGAAAAGCGGAGCAAGAGGGGGAGGCAAGACATACATGGATCAGACTCAAACCTGGGCCGCTGCTTTCATGTGGTCATGTGGCTGAATTTATAGTACTGCTTTTTTATAAGGTCAAAACGAAGTTTTTGGAGTGATGCATTGTTTTATCTTTGTAAAATTTAAGATAAAAACTGTGCTGACCTTAGACATAAAGTGTGTCCAGCCACAGGCAGCATTGTCAATGGTGTCCAGCTGTTCTAGCAAGGTGGAGGTGTTGGGAAGACTGTAGTTTCCTTCCATCAGACTTTGCATTAGCTCAGTGTCTGTGCCATTTATCAACTCAGGGTGCTGCTGAAGATCTGAGAACAACTTGAGCAAAGAAAAACAAGATGAATGAAGCAGAAGCAGAGCACAATTAAAAGGCTCCTGACTCAAAATCTAATTCTAGGAAAAGATGGATGTAAATGTTCCAGCACAGACAGCACTGCAGCGTCATGTCAGTGGGCTCTTTTGTAAATGTACCTGCTGCAGCCACACCAGGTGCTTGTGGAACTGGCCCTCCTCCAGGAAACTCCTGAGCTGGGAGGAGATATTGAGCCACACCCGGGTGTAATGTGTCACATTCCCAACAAATGCAAATGTCTCATTGGCCTTTAAAGAAAAAAGTGAACACATTAGTTTTTCATTACAATCTGTATGAATCTGTATAAACAAATATATGTATATCTATAAATAAAATGTCTTCTATTATATTTCTTCTTCTTCCAATACAGTAACACAGTTCTTACAGTAGTGGAGGGCACCGTGGTCTTAAACATCCTAAATATATTTTCTCCCAGATCTGTGCTTGGACACAGCCCTGTCTCACTGGCCTTTTCAATTATGTTCTATGACGTCAAAGGAGCTTGCAAAGAAAAGCGTCTGGACTTCTTTAAGTTGCTTGAAGACGTTTCACCTCTCATCCAAGAAGCTTCTTCAGTTCTAAGGTCAAATGGTGGAGAGTCCCAGATATAAACCTAGTGGGAGTTTCCCCCCACAGAGGGACAAAAGGACCCCTGATGATCCTCTAATCGCCTGAGCCAAGGTGTGAAACTGGGTGTGGGTCCCAATCAGCCAGAGTTTCAGGTGTGTTCATTGTGAAACCTGGCCCCACCTTATCATGCGAATTCCTGAGGTCAGATGGCCCAGGATGTGAGTGGGCGTTAAGGCGTCTGGGAAAGGATCTCAAAACTGGATTATAGATGACAGAGAGTTGGTGTCGTAAGCCCCGCCTCTGTTCAAAGATGGTCGCTCACAGTGGACATAGATGCTTCTTTCACTCCTCTTTCAAACCATCTGTCCTCTCTGTCCAAAATGTGAACATTGGCGTCCTCGAAAGAGTGACCTTTGACCTTAAGATGCAGATGGACAGCTGAGGTGGCTCTTCTGTGTTGTGCCATGCGCTTGTGAAGTGGCTGTTTGGTCATCTGACCTCAGGACATCACATGATAAGGTGGGGCCAGGTTTCACAATGAGCTCACCCGAAACTCTGGCTGATTGGGACCCACACCCAGTTTCACACCTTGGCTCAGGTGATTAGAGGATCATCAGGGGTCCTTTGTCCCTCTGTGGGGGGAAACTCCCACTAGGTTTATATCTGGGACTCTCCACCATTTGACCTTAGAACTGAAGAAGCTTCTCGGATGAGAGGTGAAACTCTTCAAGTAACTTAAAGAAGTCCAGACGCTTTTCTTTGCAAGCTCCTTTGACTACGACGACCTGGATGACTGAGAACCTTCACAGACATATGTTCTATGACAGGTGGACTCCAATCAAATTCTAAAAGCATTTCACAGACAACAGAGCACAGTCATATCCAAGTGCGTGATTAATAGTATGAATGCAAAATATCAGCCTTTTTTTCAACAATTCTAAAACAAGTGAATGGAAACATCTTTTGCTTTGTCATTATGGAGTGTTGCATAGATCATGTTGCACCAACACATTTAAAATGTTCTGAATGAACATTGTATCAGGTTAGGGTTAAAAATTAGATGGTGGTGATCTACATAATACTCATTCAGTCCGTTCTGCCTCCCAGTGTTTTGGAAGAAAACACACTAATAGCTTGGACAGAGTATTTTTGCTGGTTATGACAAAAGCTTTGTTCATACTTGATTGATAATGCAAATCTTTTTGTACATATACACGAAAGACAGTGCTGTTTACATGCCTTCTGAATCACTTTGTCCACCTGGGAGCCAATAGGAGAGTAGAGGATCTTGGGATTTGTAGTCATCAAGTGAACCAGTAGGCCCAAATTCCTTTGTTCTTTGCTGGTGAATCCCAGAGAGCTCATGTTTCCCTGCTTCAAAGCCTCCGGTTCAATTATCCTGCAACAAGATCTATGGTTAAGAGCACAGACTGTACTGCTAAGTAACATCCATCCATTTTCTTCCGCTTATCGGCAGGGTCGCGGGGGCAGCAGCCTATGCAGAGAAGCCAAGACCTCCCTCTCCTCCACCACCTCCTCCCGCTTGTCTGGGGGAACACCAAGGCATTCCCAGCTAGCTGAGAGATATAATCTCTCCAGCACGTCCTGGGTCTGCCCCAGGGCATCATCCCAATGGGACATGCCCGGAACACCTCACCCAGGAGGCGTCCAGGCAGCGTCCTTGTCAGATGCCCGAACCACCTCAACTGACTCCTGTCGATGCAGAGGAGCTGCTCTACTCTGAGTCCCTCCCCGATGGCTGAACTGGATGCGTGCCTCATCTGATTCCCACTGCTTCACACTCGGCTGCAAACCGTTCCACTGCGAGCTGGAGGCCATCACATCATCCGTGAAAAGCAGAGATGAAATTCTGAGACCAATCAAGTGAAGCCTTCCACCACTTGGCTGCGCCTAGAAATTCTGTCCACAAAAATTATGAACAGAATCGGTGACAAAGGGCAGCCCTGGCGGAGCCCATCACCCACCAGGAACGAGTCCGACTTATTGTCGGTTATGTTGGACCAAGCTCTCGCAACGGTTGTATAAGGATCGAATGGCCCGTAGCAATGGGCCAGACACCCCATATTCTCAGAGCACCTCCAACAGGACAGTCCGAGGGACACGGCCGAATGCCTTCCCCAAGTCCATGAAACACATGTAGACTGGTTGGGCAAACTCCCATGCACCCTCAAGTATCCTTGAGAGGATAAAGAGCTGGTCCAGTGTTCCACGACCAGGACGAAAACCGCATTGTTCCTCCTGTATCCGAGGTTCGACTAACGGACAGACTCTCCTTTCCAGCACCCTGGCATAGACTTTCCCAGGGAGGCTGAGGAGTGTGATTCCCCAGTAGTGGGGAATCACAGTAGTAGTTCGATCCCCTTCTTTGAAGATGGAAACCACCACCAGGTCTGCCGATCCAGAGCTACCACCTCTGATCTCCATGGAACATTGTAGAGGCGTGTCGACCAAGACAGCCCTACTATAACTAACAGCACTTTGTAATTTGATCTGTATCTTCTAGGTTATACACTACAGGTAAAAAGTTTGGACACACCTACTCATTTAATGCTTTTTCTTTATTTTTACTACCCTTCCTACATTGTAGATACAAACTGAAGACATCAAATAGATGAAGCCAGATATATGGAAGCAAAGAAAAAATGATAAATAACTCTAAATATGTTTATATTTTAGATTCCACCATTTGTCTTGCTGACAGCGCTGCAAACCCTCGGCCTTCTCTCAGTGAGCTTCATGATGTAGTCACCTCACAGGTGTGCCTGTCAGGGTCCATTTGTTCATTTATTGCCTTCTTAATGCCACTGGGACCATCAGTTGTTTTGTGCAGAAGTCAGGTTGGGACACAGCTGACAGCGCTATTTGACAACTGTTAGAATTCACATTATGGCAAGAACCAATCAGCTGAGTAAAGAGAAACAACAGCCCATCATTGCTTTAAGGACTGAAAGTCAGTCAGTCAAAAAGTTGCAAAAATCATCAAGCGCTACGATGAAACTGGCTCACATGAGGACTGCTGCAGGAAAGGAAGACCAAGAGTCCCTCTGCTGCTGAGGATACTTTCAGCCCAGATAAATGCCACAGTGCAAAGCAGTAATCAAAGCAAAGGTTGGCTATTTGGAAGAATCTAAAATATAAAGCATGTTTTGAGATATTTCACACTTTTTTTGTTTACTACATAAAGAACGGTATGCCGATAAAGTGCATGGACAGCAGAGTGGTTTGAAAATAATTCCATTTTTTTATTATCATAGTATTTTGTGGTTTTAGCAATAATTACTTTGATTTACAACAATTATATCAGTTAGAGGTGGGGCAGCTGTAGCTCAGGAGATCCAGCAGGTCATCTACTAATGGGAAGGTTGGTGGTTTGATCCCTGGCTTCTCCAGTCTGCATGTTAAATATCTTTGGGCAAGATACTAACCCCAAGGTGCTCTCCAATGCATCCATCAGAGTATGAGTGTGTGTGAATGTTAGAAAGTGTTTAACCAGAAAAAAACTGAAAAAAGTGCTTGTATGAATGTGAGAATGTATAAAGACTTTGAGCGCTCAGAAAAAGTCGAAAAGCGCTATATAAGAACCAGTCCATTTATCCTTTTAGAGCTCAGTTCATTTAATTCCACACAGTTGACTGTCTACAAGTCCTAGAAGTAATCCTCTTATTTCACTTTCACAAACAGTTAATTGACATTCTTGCTGATGTTGATATCCAGGTATTTTGGTATTTTAATTTCTTCCCATTTAAGCTGTTAACAATCTCTCTGTTCTCGTATTCTTGATGTGATTGGTATTTAATTTATGTGCTAGAACTTTATTATGTTGAGAAGCTGAGGAGGAGCTTTCTCATTGCATATGCTTTGTACTCTAACCATTGTTCATATAAAGATAAAACCTGTGGCTGCTTCTGTTTCTCTTCGGTTGGGTAGCTTTTTTGTAAAAAGGAGTAGTCTAAACACGTGGGCACTTCTTTAAATGTATGTTCATATTATTTAAAACAACATGACAAAAGCATTCCTCATACAATTAAAGACAGTTTTTGTCATACCCACCTGTTATTCCCACACAGAATGGGCTGCAGTCCAGCCCATAACTGTACAAATGCTGAAAACTGAGAATGAGGATTCTCCGTTTCCTTCTTCCCTTTCCCACTTCCTGCTCCTCCACCTTCCTCTCCTCCTTCATCACCCTCTACGGGAATGTCAGTTGTGTTGGGGCCCCATGTGGTGGCATTGAGAGGCCATGTTGTGTTTGCTGGCGATGCTGGAGTTCGACCAGCACAGGCCCCTTTGGGCAGCAGGCGAGCCAGACTAGAAAGCAGGTCCACATCCTTCAGAAGCCTCTCTACATCAGCCAGTTCCTTCAACAGAGCCCCAACGTTAGACTGAGACAGAAGAGCCGAAGAGCTGGGCTGCAGGTGAAGCTGGATGGGAAGAAAGGAGGAAATGGGCAAATTACATGATGGCTACAGCAGACATATGAAAAAGGACCCTGTTTTCAAATGTCAGTGCACATTTTTACTCAAACTAAAGACTGAAGCTCCCTGAAAACACAACTGCAATCTGCTCCAGACCCCCTGCTGATGTAGATGAATAACTGAATTCATGAATTTAATCCTCCCTGTGCTGTCACTATACCTGAACTGAAAACATTTTGAAAGTTTCACATCAGTTGGTGGTTCGGCAGGAGGTGAAAGAGCATAAGGGTGGCGATGCAGATTTTATGCAGTTGGGTTGATGCCATGTGATCTAACCAGAAATGCTGTTATGTGACCAATCAATGTTTGGATTATGAGTGTGGAGCCAGAGATGCCGAAGAACTAGAGGTGCAAGAGGTGCTTCAAACAGATGAACTGTCCAACATCTTTACCAGAAAGAGTGACAGAGTCTTACAGAGCTGTCTGCAGCTTCTCTCCTTCCCTTATCCCTCCAAAATCCCCTTAAAGACTATTGTCGTGTCCAAATTCATGGGGGCTGCATTCTCCTGAGGCCGCATTTGTAGACCGATTACGTCACAGCGACGCGCCGAAGGCTGTCCAAATTCGTAGACCCCTCCGAATGCAGCCGACAAATGCGTGCTCCTTTTTCCGAATTTGAAGGATGGGTCGGGTGTGTCCTTCGTGGCCCACCATATCCCAGAATTCATAGCGCGGCCCAGCCAAACTCCAGTTTCCGAGCTAATGGCGGCCGCTACTAAGTTTTAAAATTACTCTTATACTAATCTTTCTGGGTCACAAAATAAACTTTTAACATATTTTCAGGCGAGAAAGTAGCTGTGTAAACATCAAATATCTGCTCGGTTTATCAAGATATCGCATCTTTGCTAAAGTGCTTCGACGTTTTCGGAGACGTCTGCTACCCACCAGCTCGATAGCTAGCCGGGAGCTCGAGGGTTACTGATGCGGCCGAGAATGGCACAACTCCCGGCACATCATTTTCAGATCACCGCGGACTTTCGCTGCTCGGGTTAAACGTTGTCAGCCGGCCGGGGTTAAAAGAGAGACGCCACCCACCTGAGCTCCGAAACTCTGCCGACGTCAGTCTCCGCCTGATTCAGCAACCGTGAGTGATTATCCCTTCAATCCTTTTTCTCTTCCCGGCTCCGCTCGCTCTCTGTCGGTAACGACCGTTCCGAAGCCACGCTTCGTGCACTGATCGTTACTAGAATAACTGCGTGCCTGCTCCAAACCCACCGCTAGCCTTCGCCGCGCTTGGGTCTAGCCAGCACGCCACACGGGCACGCCGAATTACTGTGTGTAACCCGCCCGGCCGTGACAAACGTAATATATAAGTCACTTAGACAACCTAAAAATGTTATTGTTGGGCTTTTTTCAGTGTTTTGTTTGTTCGTGAGTAAATCGGTTTGGCTGAGATTAAAGTTATTAGATTAGATAAAATAAAACTTTATTAATCCCCCGGGTGGGTTCCTCCTTGGTTTTTACACAGCTGACTAAACGTCAAACAGAAAACTGATTAAACAGAAGTGTGAGATGGCCGAGAGTTTACTCCAGTGTCCTGTTATATTTTAGACAGCAAGGAGCAGACGGCTGAGTTTATTAAACTCCACCGAGACAGCGGTGACGCTAATCAGAAGGCTAGACCGTCCAATTTCACGGCCGTTTACTTCCGGCCTACCCGATCTTCTGAGGACCCGGCCCACGTAGACCGCGAAGGCCGGGTCCTCAGGAGGATGCAGCCCATGAATTTGGACACGACCTATGTCTACTCCCAAATCACCAAAAATCATGAAAAAATGATTTAAACATAAAGAAATCACAAAGAAAGAACAATACAGCATCCACGACTGCACCAAAGAGTAAAACAGTCAAATCTGGATTAATATTTGGTCTCCCGTTGAATCCCTGTTAGTACATAAATTAACAATTGATCAATAAACTGATTTAGTCTGCCTCACAGAAACCTGGTTTCAACATAATGTTAATTTAATGAATGAATGTCCCTCAGTCATAGTAATCATCAGAATCCTCGAAGTACAGGCCAAAAGAGGGTTTGGCATCAATCGTCCACTCAAGCTTATTAACCAAAGACCCAGACAGACTTTTAATTCATTGGAAAGCCTGATGGTTAGCCTCGTCCACCCCAGCTGTAAAACTCAGAATCCAGTCTTATTTATTATCATCTATTGTCCACCTGGGCCTTACACAGAGTTTCTGTCTGATTTCTGGGACTTTTTATCTGACTTAGTGCTCAGCTCAGATAAAATAATTATTGTGGGTGATTTTAACATCCATTCACTAGCTGGGCCCACATCCTCATTTTAGGATTGGCAGCGTTTTAGTAGGTAAAGGTGGGGAGAGAGAAGGAGAAGAGGACAAAGACGATCGCATGGAGAGCGAACGTTGCTCCGTGGTGTGGAGAGGATGAGCTCGGACAATTCGGAAGGAATGGCAGGAGAAGAGATCAAAGGAAGTTGCAAACAACGGAAATCTTAATGGATGAATGAGGGGAACCCTCGATCGGGTAGCGACGTGGCTCAACTTTGAGCTGAAGCTCTGACAGAGAAGAATGCTGGATTTGAGATTTGAGGTAGGGCTCGGCGCCTCAAAAAGCTTGTCTTTGAGTAGAAGATGGAGAGGGGGTGCTTAGCTGGTTAATTACTTCAGATAAGGTAGCAATAACGCCTCAGCTGATTTCTGAATTAACAGAAGTGACAGCACCAGCTTGGGGAGAGTTGATGAATTGAAAGACTGGAGGAAAATAATCTCTGCTATAATAACGTCAAAATCGTCCGAGAGCAGAGTGCAAGTCCACTGGACTTCATGGGAGATGATAAGTCGTTCAGACGCAGTCAGAACTGTGAGTCGACTTAGAGAGCGGTCTCAAATGATTGTGTCGAGGGTGGATGCCTGATGATGCTGGTGAAAGCACATGAGAAGTGAAGGCACGCTATGAAGAATTATGCGCATGACGCAGTTTGGATGTCTTAAAAGGAGCGATAGAGGACAGAACCTGCCATCTCGGTGCCACGAAGGTTCACCTTTGTTTTGCAAAGGCAGGAAAGATGGCAGCGAAACTGGTATCTCGGTGCCGGAGGCATGCTGTTGCATTTGCGAATGAGGGATAAAGAGAGAACCTGTCATCTTAGTGCCAGAGGGGTTTTACTGCTGCTTTGGAATAACGGATGCTGAGAAACTAGCAACGTGGTGGAAGAAGATTGCTGCTGCGATTACGAATGATGGATATAGAAGGAACCACCTAGAAGGATTCTCTTCTGCTTTAGCCCTGATGGATGGACAGGAACTGGCAACTCAGGGGTAAGAAGCTTGTCACTGCGGTTTGCACATGGCAGATATAGCAAGACCCTGACACCACTGTGCTAGAAGGGTTTGCTGCTGCTTGCAATGATAGAAGTGGAGAAACTGGCAGTTCGGTAGTAGGGACGCTAGATGCTGCATGCAAATGGGGGATGAAGGAAAACCTGGCATCCCGGTGCCTTTTTATTTATTTGTCTATGCAGACAACTGCCAACTGCCGAAGCTGCTGCTGCTTTCACGAATGAGGGATAAAGGAACCTGGCTGGTGCCGACGTTTGCTACGGAGTTTAGCCAAGGATGGAAGAGGCTGGGAACCTGGCAACTCAGTGCCGAAGTATGCTGCATTTGCTATGGAGGGAAGGAGTACTGGCAACTCTGTGCCCTTTTATTTTTTTCCTTAACTATGCAAACTGGCAACCCGATGGTCGAAAAGCTTGCTGCTGCTTTTGCGAATGAAGGAGAAAGGTACCTGGCAACCTGGTGCCGAGGTTAGGTGGAGAATTTGCAAGGGGGGGTTTGCTGAGCACCTGGCAATTCGGTGCCAGCGTTTGCTGCAGAGTTTAGCCGAGGAGGGATGGATGGGTGGCTGAGAACCTGGCAACTCGGTGCCGACGTTTGCTGCAGAGTTTGTTTTTTTGTTTTGTGTTTCGTCTTTCCTGAGAAACTGGCAGTTCGGTGGTAGGGAGCTTGCTGCTGCGTTTGCGAATGGAGGATAGGGTTATGCATAAGCATTTAGCGTAAGGAGGGATGGAAACACCACGATGATGGAGAACAGTAGAGTATGGAGCTAGCGACAGATTTCCAGCTTGCATTAAATGGTGTTAGTAGGATGGAGAACAGAGCTGAACTTCTCCCTGCTACCTGGCGCTGGCCGGTGGGTGGAGCTACGAAGTACGCTGTAGCTTTTGCTGTTAGAGCTGCGATTTGTTTGGAAGCGTGGGTTTGGCGCTGACGGCTAACTCGCCCGGGCTGTGACCCGTTTCGGAGCAACGTGAGAGGAGTTGTGAGTTCTGCTGCCGGGCGGCCGGAGTTACTTCATGACTGGATTTAGCGAAGATAAACCGACTGGATGGATGGACGTAGAGAAAACTGCTAGAAGGTTGTCAGGATTCGGTTTTTTGGAAGCGCCGCTGTGACGTTTGGTGTGTTTCTGGGATTGCCGGATGAAAAGCGATGGATGCAGAGCTTGAGTAGTTGTTCGTCTGACGCGCTGACGGTCGAGATGGTGATTGTAAAACTACGTTACTCCTGAGAGATGAGCTGTGTTTAAAGGTATTTGCCGAGAATGGACCCTGTTTGCACGTAAACGAGAATGAACAGTTTGCAGAACTGGGGGGAACCTATATAGATGACAACCGGAAGGAGCATGTTTGGAGGTGTGGTCCCGCTCCTGAAAATCCGATACATAATCCCCAATGTAATGACAGCCTCAACATGGCATTTAATATGTTCTTAGATTCTATTGGCTTCTCTGAAAATGTAAAAGAACCCACCCACCACTTTAATCACAATAGAGATCTGGTTCAAATTCAAATTCAAATTTTATTTGTCACGTACACAGTCATACACAGTACGATATGTAGTGAAATGCTTGGACAACTGCTCGTGACCTAAAGAAAACAAAAAAGGAAAAGGCTATGAATAAGATA